ACTAGGTCTACATAATGCCCAGTATTCTCCCTCGACTTTTCGTTTCGCACCCTCTTCCTGACGCGTTTGTTTACAAGTACAACCGAGCCAACGGGAACCGTACGGATACGACACGCGGATGCTCCGGTCACTATACCCGTTACTCACGGATATGATACGGTGTTGATACGGTCTAGAGGACATAGTAGTCCGTTATCGTATTAATTTTACATGCCAGGGGGTCAATTTTTGAGATGCGATCGTTTTTTTGCGAATACGCAAAGTTACGTGTACGTAGTTACGAATGTCAAGAAAACAATCAATTTTTGAGTGACAGTTTCTATTATTCGCAACTTTACTTACGATCATCGTAAAGATGCGATTGATAGATTTGACAACACCTGAATTAAAATTGACATTTCGCAAAATTAAATCTAATTTCGTATTTATTCTCATTCCATCTGTTCTATGGTTAAAGAGGTGTATATAATTGTACCTCGTTATTATAATGGACAGTTTAAAAAAGAGAGGTGCAAATGATTCCGAAAAGCAAAAAACTATGCTGGTGGAATATGTGAAAAATAAAGGGTACCGCTCACTAGAGCGAAGCGGCGCGTCGACTGGAGTATAGGTATAATGAAGAAATCGATGCTTTAATAAAAAACGAAATTGCTTCTTTAACAAACCATTACATCTCTATTGTTGCCTTTGTTGTTTTGTGGAGATTATTGTAACGGCTTTCTGGAGTGTTTGGTTCCACATTATTAAAATGTGTTAACAACCAAGAGCGAAGGGGATATCCCGAATTTCCTGTAAAGAATAAGTATTAGTGTAAGGAACTACATTTATTAATAAATGTGTCACACACCCAATACTAATCGATGTAATTGCTGCATAAGACCATGGACACTTGATTGATTCCATAAATAGGAAAACTCAATTCCTCAAAACCTTCCCCTTTGAGGAATTGAGTCGTCTATTTCCTATATGGTTCATCACCCCATTTAGAGAATGGATCAACAACGAGTTTTTTCTGATATAGGTATATCTATATGCATCGTTAGTACCTACTTACCGGATACCTTGCTTTCACATTTAGAATGTTGAGGCTGCTGTCACATATCTAACAACATTTTTGTAACGTTATCCACTCATGTTCCATTCTTTAAACTTACCGACTGCACATTAATAGAGTGGTAACCATTTCGGTTTATATATAAATATTCAGGATGCTCCGGATCCTCAATTTTCGGAGGAAAAATGGGCACATGCGTGCAGTCTATGCACCCTATAGTTCCCGGAAAACCAAATTACGTAAAAAATCTAAAATCTTGAATGGCCAAAATGTTTATCAATTCTTCTATTTTCGATAAAATTTTTAAAATTGACGATCAACTGGTCACTATACTTTATATTCAAAGCAAAACGCATTCGAATATCAAATTACGCCAGCTATCTACCGCTCGCAAAAAAGCGAAGGATATTTTAAGAGCGCGCAAAGAAACGTGCTGTCAAAGTTTGAAACAAACTACTATTCGTATTGTTCCGTATACGTTTCCCATTTGCGAGCGCTCAAAAATTGACCCCNTCAATAATCTGTGATGCCATGGAATTTTATAATAGAAAAGCTACGCCAATATCCGTCATGCCATGGAATGTCTGCTATAAAACAAATCAAATTCTATCAAAAAGTATTATATTTAGAACAGCGAATTCAACATAAAGAAAAACCAAATTACTAAAAACGGTTTCCTAATACAACAATTTACAATAAATGTTCGAATAAGTCTCCATTAAATGCAAGACAGTAACCAAGTCGATCATAAAATCCATTTCGAACGGCTGCTAATTGATAATTGGATATCTTTTTGTTTTAGAAAATTCCATGGCATCACAGATTATTGATAAGATGGGGGTTTTATTTTTCCAATATTCCGTCTTTATTATGCAAAAAATTTAAAACTAATACGGTTTATTGACGTAAAAAATTTGTTTCTACAAAAAACCTTAATACATTTTTGCTCTAAAATAATTTGGGGAGCCAATAATCGCATGTTATGAATTTTACATTGAAATTCCGATGATGCGTTGCGCAAGTCACCACCCTGTATAATGTACTATGTTTGCATGGAATAGTATGAGACTATGCCCACTACACCGTTTAGTTACCGATCAGCACCGTAAGTTTTTTTAACTTAACCGGTGTGCGCAGGCGCAGAAATGATGAACATACGGAAATACATATGACATTTTTTTCGTCATCGACTAAGTCTAAATAATGCCCAGTATTATTCTCCCTCGACTTTTCGTTTCGCACCCTCTTCCTGACGCGTTTGTTTACAAGTACAACCGAGCCAACGGGAACCGTACGGATACGACACGCGGATGCTACGGTCACTATAACCGTTACGCACGGGTATGATACGGGTATGATACGGTCTAGTGGGCATAGTAGTCCGTATCGTATATTTTACGTGCCTGATACGTTCCTATTACGGTCATGATACGGTACGGTGTAGTGGGCAGATACCTTAAAGCGAAAATTCAATATTGATTCCCAAATTAAATACTAAGTCTTTATTATCGCTAATTTTGTAAAAAATTCTCGATCGAGTGGTATAAAAATGCAATATGGCGTCCATAAAAAATAAGAAAGTTGATGTAATTTATTCGAAACCCACAAGTCATAAAAATTTTATTTTGGCACATCAGAAATCTGAGAAAAAATTATTATTAGCTGTAGAAACACACCCTTTTTGCTTGATTTTGTTGCAATTTGTTTGCGTTTGTGTCAAAATGTGTTAAACTATTTTGTATGTACTTACTTATATAGGTACTTAAATCGCTTTACATAAAACTACGCGGAAATATTCATGCAATGGCAATACAACCAAAAGCTTATTTGCGGTTCCGATAATGTCATATAGACAGATTTAGGTATAGCATTTGACGTAGTGTCTCATTACATGATCTTGTAGAAGCTATAAGAACAACCTTGCTAAAGACAGACGTTCATAATCACAAACTTACCTTTGCACATCCCTAGGGATCGACCGATATGGGATTTCTGACCGATATACCGATATCGGCCGACATTGTTATGCCTGAAGGTCGATACCGGGAAAACTGCTTTGGTGTGCAATTATGCTAATATGGGTCGTGGAATTTTGATTGGCAAGGTGCTAGTACATGCTAAACAACTATAACTCATGTTCGACTGATGAATTGGAACTCACTCCCCATAAAAATCATTATGCGGGTCACTCTGTAATTGAGCGCAAGCCTGTCGAGGGTCTAGATCAAGAGAGGGATAATAAACAAATAAGTAAAGAAGAGCACTGAGATTGGGACTTATTGCTGCAATAGAGCGTTGTGTGAATACAGCCAAGGGTGATGACACTGGAATACCCAGGAAGGCTTCAAGCAATGATCGCAGCCTCATGCAAGACAACAAGCCAAAAGGGCCATGCTGAAAGGTTAATTTGCCACTACCAAGATGTGTTTAATTCGAAGAAAGAACTTGCCGGCCGAAGCAATATAGTAACCCATAAAATAGGCACAGGAAATGCCCAACCTATTAAGCAATATCCGAGAAGACTACCATGGGTTACACTTCACGAAACTGAGAAGATCAGCGACATGGTTAGTTAAGGAATAATTGAACCATCCAGTAGCCCTTGGACTTCACCTGTGGTGTTAGTGAAGAAGATTATAGACAAGAAGATTCTAGGCAACTGAACAACGTAACAAAGAAGGAAAGTTACCCGTTGCCCCGAAAAGATGACACCCTAGATACGCTTACGGATTATGGTTTTCCTCCTTAGAAATGAAAAGCCGCTACTGGCAAGTTGGTTTGGATCTTAAACATCGCGAGAAGACAGCCTTTAGCATAGGGTCGGGTTTATGGAAAATTACTACCATGCCCTTTGGATTGTGTAACAACCCCGCAACGTTTGACAGATGTAATGGAACTAGTCTTGAGAGGACATTTTCCGAACAGTAAGTAAAATAGCTTGGCCGTCGGGTTTCAGAAAATAGAGTGACAGTGGATCCTGACAAAATTCGTCCAGTACAAGAATGACTCCATTCAAAACATAAACACAAAATACAGTTTTGACTGAGTTTTCTGCGCCTGTGCACTACTACCGGCGAATTTTTCGTGGATTTATCGAAATTGCAAAGCCGTTGACTAAGTTAACAGAGGAACACAAAGACTTCGAATGGAATTATGAATATGTACGTGTCCATGTGAGAGTAAAACTCTCGAGAGTCGCTCTCGAGAGCTTTGCTCTCAAGTGGACAACGATTTGAGAGCTACTCGCTGCGAGCGATACGTTACTATCCGACAGTAACTCGCAGCGATATCTAGAGTACGTGGAAGTGGAACCGACCGCCTCTCGATAGTGGACTCGCAGAAGTCGAAACAATTTCGTATAGTTGAGAGTGCTGTCAAGTTAACATGTCGAAAAACTGGAGTAAAGACGAAGTGTTGGAATTGATACAGTGCTACGAAGAAAATGAGATGTTATGGAATACTCGATGTACAGAGTACAGAAATCGAGAGAAAAAACAGGCACTCCTGAGAGAATTTGCTATCCAATTTAGTTGTAGTGCGGAAGAAATTCAGAGGAAATTACACAATTTAAGAAATCAGGTAAGTTTATAATAATGATTCCTCTGTTTGATATAATTTATTTCTGAATTGGTTTATACAAGTTTCCCAAGAATTGAAAAAAATGAAGAAGAAAAAAAGTGGCGCAGGTACCGATGAAAATTATACTACAAATTGGCCTTATTTTACTGTGTTAAAGTTTTTGATTCCTACTCTGATACCAAATCAAACTGAATCAAACAGAAGTGAGACTCGCTCATCCATTGAGACACAGCCAGTCAAAGAGGTAAGTGAGACACGTTCTTTTTTAATATTCATATTTATTATGATTATCAACATCTACAAATTAAAATACATTTTATTAAATATGTTGATATTGCCAATCTACTTCACCTGAAGGGGTCATAAAGTATTCTTTAAATTCATCTCTCACTAGTTTCTGTGAAAGCGTACAATTATTTCACTTTCCTTTTTGCAATGGAAAGTATGAGTTATTGGGAATTTCATCTCTCCAGGAACCTGGTATTAGAGTATGCGTTTCAGTATTTTCTGTATCAATCAAATCTTGATGTATATAGTTGCCTTTCAAAGTTTTGTCTGACAATAAATAATTATGGAGTGCGCAGATTGCTTGCACGGTTGTTGAAACTGTCTCTGGGGCAAGCGCAATAGGTTTTCGCAAAACTCGAAATTTATTGGCCATTATACCAAATACATTTTCAATTATTCGTCGAGCTCTCGACAGTCTGTAATTAAAAATACGATTAGGAGCTGGTTGATTCTGATAAGGATACGGCTTCAACATGTACGGTTTCATAGCAAAAGCATCGTCGCCAAAAAAACAGTATGGAACAGGATCAGTTCTACCAGGGAGAGGTGTAGGCTCGGGTAATTCAATACTTCCATCTTCAAGTCCTTGATGCAAAGAACTATTTTGGAATACCCCACCATCCGAAATTCTTCCATTACATCCAACGTCAAAGTATATTAGTTTATAACTTGCATCAGCAACGGCCAATAGAATAATACTATAAGTTCCCTTGTAGTTAAAATAATGACTGCCAGAGTTATGCGGATTTTGTATAGAAACATGTTTTCCATCAACTGCTCCTACGCAGTGTGGAAAATTCCATCGGGAGTGGAATGAATTAGCTATGCACAACCACTCATTTTTTGTGTTTGGAAACTGAAAAAAAAATTTAAATGAAAAATTTAGTTGAAAATAAAATGATGTCGTTTTCTTTTTTCTTTTGTTCCAGATTGAATCACAACTTGATGAGGAAATAAATGTTGTTGGAAACGAAAATACCAACATTACAATTGAAAATAAACAAAAGAAGCGGAAACGTGAGAAAACAGATGTTGATGACCAACTGTTTCGATCAGCAATACAAACCCTGCAAAAACCTCCAGATGAGGATGAGATTTTCGGGCAATATGTCGCGATGGAGTTGAAAGGGATTACAAATGATTTTCTTAAACGAAAACTTAAAAGTGCAATTAGAAGGTCCGTTAATGAGATCGTCGATGAATACGATATGCACATGTATGGAACGCCTTCCACGTCATCAGCATCATTGCCAACATCACCGGCACACGAAGACAGTTCATCATGTGCAGGTTTATTTAAAACATTTACTGAATTGTGAATTATTGGATTTTTGTATTAAACTTCTTGAATAAAAGCCTAAACATTTAATATAAACTTATACCTTTAAGTAAGACTCCTTCAGCATTTCATAAATTGCCACAGTTACTTCCTTTACAATTCTGCCAATTGTGCAAACTGGAATCCGAAATAGATATTGAAGGCTGCTGTAAGAATCGCCTACAAAATGAATTTTCATTGATTCTACGTAGTGATATGTATACATCGGTACTTACCTGTTGCTAGAAATCGAAGGGTAACCATAACTCGTTCATAAACGGGTATCGCCGAACGCATTATTGTGTCTTGTTTAACAATTTGAGGCCCTATTAAATTTATTAAGAATTGAACTTGAACTGCACTCATGCGAACAAAATTTCAAAATTGCTGGGCATCTTCAATATGGAGCTCGGCTATTAATGTAGAACAAGCACCGTGTTTTGCTCTACGTTCGATCCAGGGCTTAACCCAGCACTTTTTTCCCACTTTCGCCATTTCTCTTTTCTTTTTATAAATAATAAGAGCAGCAAGTTTTTCTTTATTACTGTTCATCCTGAGAGTCACGCGAAAACTGATCATGTGGACACGATTCTGAGAGTAGATTGTGCGAGGACTATCCGACAGTTGCTCTCAAGTACTGTCGGATAGCAAAAATTCCTGAGAGTGATCTCACGTGGACATACACCTGAGAGCAGCTATCGAGAGTTACTATCAGAAAAACTCTCACATGGACACGTACCTGGGCTTTTGAAGATCTCAAACAAACTTAGGGCTCCGATGGTCAGCTGTCCCAGAAGAGGAGACTCGTGTTGGACACGGCCAGCAATTTTTTGTAAAGGCCGACAATTATGCCGCATTGCAATGGTTGTTACAATTTAAGATATCAGAAGGTCAAGTGGCTCTAGATGATTGGAAAGATTGCAAGAGTAAGACTTCGCAACAGAACACCGCGCGGGACGTAACCATCTAATGCCGATGCCTTATCTAGAAGACCATAACCTGAGGATCTCGCCACTGCTCACAATTAGAGCACAAATATGAAGAACAACACGCAAGATGCACTGCACTTGTGAATGACAGTTGGGCACACCAAGAACTCCATACAGCTCAAGAAAATTACAGTGATTTAAGTCAGATTACAAATTTATAATGGAAAATGGAAGAGAAAAGGCAAACCTTGGAAGAGGTATCTCGATACGGTCTAGTTTTAATGGCGTACGGATTCAGTGGGGCTCGTTAAGGTTGGAACATGGTCTACTTAAGAAAAAATGATGATGGCACCACCCCCCATGTACAGCTAGTGATGCCGAAGCGCGTCTGAAGTATTACGACAGATACATGATGGTAGGTATATCGGAGAGTGACAAAAACCTGGTTAATGTGTGGGAAGGATTCTACTGAGTAAATTGCAAACAGAATGTGAAGGAATGGTGAAGAAAATATGCAGTTTGCCAGGAACCTCCAGAAGCTACGAATGTGGTGCATGTGAAACCGTCCACTTTGGTAGAATGTACAGTGCATTACTCTGCAACTCAAAGGGCACGTCTTTGTGTTGTCCAGGAACCGGTGAATTGCTTTTTCTTCAAGAATGGAAGATGCACGAGGATGGCGTCGTGCAAGTACCGCACTTAAGTTCGCGTCGAAGTTCGCGTAGTAGAACATGAATTGCCCGGGCCTGTGTCTTTGCTACAACCGTCGTCCGTGTTACGAAACGCAACAGTTTTAAGAGGGGGACAGTGTAGCAAAGATTTCATAAATCTTGATTTTTTGAGTGATTCACAGATAAATTAATTGTATTGACTTTTCGAATTTTACCACTACCTATAGCAACAAGCAACAACAATACCTACTTGTACATTCAAGATTGAAATCGGGATTGAATTGCTTCATTCGCATGGCCTCTTTAAAAAAAGGTGATCTTCGGTATATTAACCATTGCTGAATAACCTCATAACATAACATCATACAATATATTTAAGAACATTAAGTACCTACTCGCCAAATGTAAGTGTTTTGCTAATTCTGAATTAGTCAACACATTTTGTTACCTTATTTGTGTTAGGTACTGGCGAGGGTACTGGTTATGTGAATTACCTGCTACACCAATTATGCATTACGTTTGAATTAACAGTAATAGAAATAGGTACAAACTCCAATTGTCAATCAAGGAACAAATTTATTTTAATGATGTGCTTTCTTCGCATATCGTTTTAATTACAAACAAAAACAATCGGAATTTCAATTATGAATTAGGTAATGGAACAAATGACAAAAAATGGACCGCCTCCTCACAAAACAATAAATTGCACTTAGCTAACGGAATTTATGCTCAAACGATGCTGTACAATATTACAGCGTGACGTGTGAGCTCAAGACCACCTTATAATTTGTCACACGACTTGCATATTAAAGCAAAAAACATTTCTGGCCTCTTCCCAAAACTAAAATTCATTGCTTTATAATTGACAAAGATGTCGTCTCGTGTTTACTGCTGTTTTTGTTTTTCACCAGAAAAGTTATTTGTACCTAATCTTGTAAATGATGCGGTGTTATTTCGTGCGCTTACAGTTCAACATTTTTCATCTCTTAAATGAAATGCTGACCTTGAATAGGTGAAAATGTAATCGCTTTTCTTTGACCAATATTTTTGAAAACACGCAGTCCCTATTTCTATAGCTTAAAATAAATTACCTACATTTAGAAACATGATTTAACAAAGCTAGATAGATATAACCATATAACTCAACGAGGCATAAAATAGTGGTTTAATTTGCACTTAATTAAAATTTTCGTTTGATTATATAGTCATGTGATGCAGCTATTTAGAAATTATAATTAGAGAGCATCGCCCCCTCCTTTATAGAGGTGGAAAACATCACAGAGCACGCCCAATTCCAATGTCCTATTAAAATAAACCGGAAATAATAATATCCCTTCAATTTCTTTCATCTTGTTGTGGAAGTACTTAACATCATCGAACCTTTCGCGCGTTCCGATAATGGTTTCAGTTTCTAATTTAATTCCACCTAAGAGTTTCAATTGCAAACCATGCATTCCCATGAGCCGTAAAGCTCGAAAACTCTATTGAAGGTTGGATAATATAGAGAGCGAAAATTGCCCAAGTTGTTTTATAGGGAGGGCTATACAATCTCCAAAAGAATAGCTAACTACAGTTTTTACGATCAAAGCTGGCGTCATTTGCTCTACTTCCATTTGTGTGTCCTGCCAGTCCTGATAGTCAAATATGATCGTTTGCTAACGACCGCCATTGTGTGCCCTTCAGGGTGTAATCCAGTTTCACCTCACGTCCTTTTTATTACCATACCCTTTCGACGGTTAAACGATCTTCATTCATCATGAACGCTACTTGTGAAACATAAACTTTAGTGTAGGTCTAATTTTCGCATGCTTGCCTACATGTTTAAAAATCTTCACTTAGATGGGAATAAAATTTCTGCGAATTTCAGTTCATTCCATTTGCGGCAATCTGAATTGGAAAGCAAAATGGATATAAAATATCCAGAACATTATGGATTTAGTAAAATTTAAATTTCTGTCGAGACTACAGTTTTTGCAATGTAAAATGGCTGTATGACACAGATAAGGATATTATCATGCATGGGACACACGCATACAAGTCGAGTTAATCAAACAGTGAAAAGTTTATGGGATTCGTTTCAAAACGGGGAATGAAACGCTCTTTAAAGGTCATTAAAATTTGCTTTAAAGTTTCTGCGGCATACAAACGAAAGAAAACCGGCGTTTTGAATAACTATAATAATTTTCAGTAATGCGTTTGTGTGTAATAAATATAAATTTCAGAACCATGCCTTAAAAACGTTCTCCAATATTCTACAGACATTAGCAAAACGTGATGTCATGTTTTTATTATTATATTTATGGTTTCCATGAAAATGTGAAATATCGATATAATAAAGAGGACCACAGTTTTAGAAAAAACAATGATTGAAAGTTGATTCCAAATTGAAATTATTTCATAATGTTTGTTGCTTGACAGAGTTGATGCTCTCGTAGACAGAGTACTTTGTAGTTAAGGCAGATAAAAATGGTCACACCAGCGATTTGGAATTAGCGTTGCGACAAGTTAAACCCAATACTACGCATCACTTCTGTTAATGACCTTTTCCGATTTATACAACAGAGTAGACATAAAATCAATTTAATATCGCCGTACTCAGAATTTGCGAATCCTTACGATCCTTACTTTAAGGGCATAAATGTTGGCCTTTGTACTGAAGGAATTTATATCGTAGAATAAAATTGTAATTATGTCGTCTTCCAAGTGCCGTCAACGAAAATATGGAGTTGGTAGAGGTTATTATGAACAATAATCCCAGCCTAGTCATTTTAATAGTTAAGTATTTTAATCCTCCATATAATAATAATAATAAACAATGCACATAGAAAGAGGGAAACTAACTGAACAAAGCGAACCAGAAACTTTAAACAACGAAATACTAACAAACATGCAGATAAATGAAACATACAAATATTTAGGCATAAATCAAAGCACAACCATTAAACACACATTAATCAAACAACTAAAGGATGAATACAGGAAAAGACTCAATCAAATCCTAAAAACAGGGCTTAATTCAAAAAACCTGTTCAAAGCTATAAACACATACGCCATCCCTATTCTTACGTACTCGTTTGGAATTATAAAATGGACAGATACAGACCTGGAAAACAAACATCTTAACACGAGCACAACTCACTAAACACAGAAAACTACATCCTAACTCAGCAAAAGAGCGCATCACCATCAGCAGACGAGAAGGAGGAAGAGGTTTAATAGATATAGCAGAACTACACTCAACACAAATACAACACTTAAGACAATACTTTCACAATCAAGAACACCTCATTCATGCAGCAATTATACGAGCAGACAAAGGCTACACACCCCTCAACCTTCACGACACAAACATCACTCATCCACACTATCAAACAACACAAGACAAAAAGGAACAATGGTTGCACAAACAACTACACGGTAGACACCCACACATAGTACAAGACGAACTCATCAACACGCTACAAAGTTACAAATGGCTACAAGACGGGATCATACAACCAGAAACAGAAGGTTTTCTAATCGCAATTCAAGACCAAGTTATAGCAACACGAAACTACAGGAAATATATTCTAAAAGAAGACATGGAAAACGACAACTGCAGAAAATGTCACATAGGCAAAGAGACAATAGATCACATCACCAGTGGTTGTAAAATACTAGCAGGAAAGGAGTATACAAACAGACACAATCTTGTAGCAGGCATAATACACCAGGCACTAATACAGAAACACAACACCAATATTGACACACAACCCTACTACACATACACACCAACAGTCATAGAAAACCAAGACATAAAAATATATTGGGATCGAACCATACACACTGACAAAACAATTACACACAA